CAAGCTGCTGAAACTGCGATATCCAGGTTAGTGCCAGAGAAGTCGAAAAACTTTATACCACCTACAACAACTTTGAAATCTGGGTCAAAGAACATGTTGAGAATTTCAGAGAAAAGGTATTGCTAGCCTATTTCCTGAAGTTATCCACTACCTTAAAGCCGTCAACTCTGTGGAGTAAATATTCGATGCTCTGCACCATGATTTACCTGAACAGAAACGTAGATATTAGCAAATTCACAAACCTTATTGCATTTTTAAAAAGAAAAGCTTCCGGATATCAGGCAAAGAAATCAGAAGTATTTACAAAACTGGAAATAGATCGCTTTATGAAAGAAGCCGATGACAAAGAATTCCTGCTGGCAATTGCCCAGTAGCAAAGCCAAAACCGAGACAAGGCAAGACAAAGAATTCCTGTTAGCTAAAGTTGTCTTAATCGTTGGAGTATTTGGAGCATGTCGGAAGGAAGAAATCACGTTTTTGACCGTAGATGCCATTAAAGATCATCATTTATTAGTTTGAAGATTCCGAATACAAAAACTCATTTTCCAAGAGTGTTTACGATTACTGAGGGACCAATACATGGTATCAATTTCTTACGTGTATTTCGTAAGTACGCAAAACTTTGACCACTCAATGTGACACATCAGCGATTTCTCTTGACGTATCGAAAAAATCAATGCTGTACTCTGCTAGTTGAAATCAATACAATTGGAGGTGTGCAAAAAAAGATAGCGGAATTTCTTGGACTCTCGAACGCCATTGAATATATTGGTCATTGTTTCCGGGGCAGCTCTGCAACAATGTTGGCAGATTCAGGAGCGGATATAACAGTTTTAAAGCGACATGGAGGTTGGCGATTAAGCTCGGTTGCTGAAGGTTAAATTGAAAATTCTATTGAACAGAAAACCAAAATAGCAATAAGAATCGTGGGACAGAAAGATACGCCAAATAAGAAATTAAAAGCAGTTCACGTAGAAGCAGAAGCTACCAGTATTGCCAGTACAAGAAATTTACTTATTCTGACTCCTACAACTTGCATTTCTCTTAGAGACGAAAAGCTGGATGCCTCTTGTATTCACTTTAATAATTTAAATAATTGTACCTTTAAGATTTATAATAAATAAATATTTTCATTGTTTCTAACGTGTCATTTTTTACTTTTAGGCACTAGTGCTTAAACAAGTGTCACTTTTTTATACTAGTGCCTAAAAGAATGTCATTTCGAATCTCAAATATCAAAAACTGTCAATTTCGAAACGCTTTCACAAAAAATAAATTATTTACAGTCACATTAAATATAAAAGAGTATCTTGCTTCCCAAAACTAGCAATGTTAAAATAGCTTTTCACGTCATATTTAAATTAGTCTTTGAATATAAAAATTAAGAAAGGAGTATAATCGTTGATTGAAAGAATTGGGAAAGATACGCAACTTAATGGGCGAATTCGCGAAAAGGCTGATTCGATTTCCCCTTACGTCTCGAGTGCTGCGCGGTGGAGACGCCAATCGTTCTGCGGTCAACACATAAAACACTTATTTTCTCTAATTCGCCCGGCGAAGGCATGTCGAAGAGGGTGTGGATCTGAAAGCCACTCTGTTTTGCCATATTACAATGTGCAATATCTGTAATACGTTTGACGAAAATATCTATGGATGAAAAATCTGCGTTTATGTATTGAACATTTATTCGTGTTAAACATATAATAAACAACAAAAATAAAAATTCTTTTATAGGTACTGAATATGTCGTATGATCGAAAAAAGTCGTTTAGTTGGCTTTGGAATGACGATTAATGACATATACCATAATATTTTGCATATGAAATAACAGCGGTCTTCATTTCCAAGCCAATTCTGACGGCGCTCTTTGTTTAATCACATAATATTATATTAAATTGTTTAATAATAGAAAATCCGTATTAACGTACTGTATCGGCACCAGCGCAATAACAAGGCCGCACAGCTTATTCGTGACGTCATCAACCGGACGCCTAAAGCTTAGTTTACACGGGCAAGTAAATTATCGCAAGTATATGTCTGAGAGCACTTCTACGAAACTTGCATAACAGTATCCGAAAGCACTCTCCCAGCAAGTCACAAAACTGGCGGGGAAGTGGTTGCGACGAAAGACGCTTGCAAGTGTAAACAGGTGGGGAGAGTGCTCTGGCAAGTTAAAATTTATTTCCGTCTTGTTGAAAGTTTTTGGTGCAAGTGATTTTCGAAGGCGTGTTAAATAACGATATTAAAATGGAGTATGTGGTCGAAAGAAGATACCATCACTTTGATTAATTTATTTGAAGGATTTCCGGAATTGTGGCAAAAATAATCGAAAATTTACAGAGATAAAAGCAATCAAATTTATAGCTGACAAATTCAACACAACTGAGGCTGAGATTAAGCGAAAGCTACATAATATTCGTACCCAAGCAAACCAGGAGCGGAACAAAATTATAAAAAAAAGTAAAATCGACTTCTGACATTCGCCGAAAATTGTTTAAATGCTTTGGGTCTTCATTTCTTATTTTTTTTAATAACATCGCGTAAGCTCCAAGACTAGGCCTTCTGGCCAATCCATTCTTTAACCCGTACTCTTTTTCTAGATTTTCTTGACTGTTTGCATAAAATTGCAACAGAAATGCAGTGGCTGCAGGTCTCTTTTTACGGCGCGACATTTTTCTACTAAACAGTATACTTGTGCAATATACACCATACCGTGTAAACGTGCATGCAATTTCACGCAATGCAATTTCATGCATTTTTTTAAGCAAATTTTAAAGCAATTTCTTGCAACAAGTACTTCCTAGGCATATGCTGTGAGCAAGAAATTGCATGCACGTATACACGGTATGGTGTATATTGCACAAGTGTTTAGTAGAAAAATGTCGCGAAGTAAAAAGAGAGCTGCAGCCACTGCTCTTCTAGTTGCAATTTTACGTAAACAGTCAAGAAAATCTAGAAAAAGAATATGGGTTAAAGAATGGATTGCCAGAAAGCCTAGTCTTGGAGCTTACGCGATGTTATTAAAAAAAAGAAATGAAGATCCAAAGCATTTAAACAATTTTCTGCGAATGTCAGAAGTCGATTTTACTTTTTCTTTTTATAATTTTGTTCCACTCCTGGTTTGCTTGGGTACGAATATTATGTAGCTTCCGCTGAATCTCAGCCTTAGTTGTGTTGAATTTGTCAGCTATAAATTTGATTGCTTTTTGCTTTTTAGCTCTATTTCTGTAAATTTTCGATTTTTTTTGCCATAATTCCGGAAATCCTTCAAATAAATTAATCAATGTGATGGTATCTTCTTTCGACCACATACTCCATTTTAATATCGTTATTTAACACGCTTTCGGAAATCACTTGCACCAAAAACTTTCAACAAGACGGAAATAAATTTTAACTTGCTAGAGCACTCTCCCAACATGTTTACACTTGCAAGCGCCTTTCGTCGCAACCACTTCCCCGCCAGTTTTGTGACTTGCTGGGAGAGTGCTTTCGGATACTGTTTACATTATGCAAGTTTGGTAGAAGTGCTCTCAGACATATACTTGCGATACTTTACTTGCCCGTGTAAACTACGCTTTAAAGTTTGATTGCATTTGATACACTTTATACGTATATAATGGATATAAACTTTAATTGCGCCGAATTTTTAATAAATAATAATTAAACATAACATTTAAAAAAACATCTACTGATATCCCATCTCACATTATCCATCGTCATTGTATTTATTTACGCTGTAAGTGTGTCTAAGTTTCTTTTATTTCCTTTTCCAAGTATATACTTTTTTTACAACAGCAGTTTTTCAGACGTGTATTTGTAATAGAATTTATGATAATTTTTACAATAACTGAGCATTATAAATAGTACATTGTGGAAATTTTAATAATGGTGTTATTACTTTTAATTGGTGTTATTAAACTTTGGATTACAAAGTTATTTTTGATAAAAATATTTTTTTATTGTGAATTTTGAGAAACTACTCATGGCTTTGCAAAACTTTGTTAAAAATGATATATTCAAATAAACTATATTAGTTATTTCATCTTTCTGAAACCTAAGACTGCCTTTAAGGATTTTTATAAGTGAATTTTGTTCAATATCAGTGTTGTCTGAAAATGTTAAACTATTCTTACGTGTGTTGCATTTAATTTCCTTTAAGACAATATAACAGCAATTGTTTTTCTCATAATATACGCTATTGTCAACTTAAAATATACCTTTATTAAATTTGATTGATAAAAAGTGAGAGATAAACATTTATTGACTGGTATGATTTTTTCCGTATTCTATTAAAACTATTTTTATATACTATAATATTTTTAAAAACTCAGATAAAGACATTTTAAAACTTCGAAATATATCTACTGAGCGAAAAAAAATCCACAATTTGATCTTTTATCGGGTAATTATCAACGCTGCTAAATAGAGTTACGCCTCCAGTTGGTGACGTCACCAAATTTTTATGTCACAGCTGGATGGCCTTGTTATTACGATGGTGCCGTACTGTACCCAAAATCCGTAAATCTACGGATTAATCAGTAGTTCCGGCAACATTGTCTCCGGCAACCATTCACTCTGTCGACTGAAAGCAGAACTACGGTACAGTATTTTTTATCCGCTGCTCTGTAAACGACTGTCAACGCGCAGCTAAACTAAATGTCGGACAGGTTTTGTGCCACGAATTCGCCCATAAGGTTGCGTATCTTCTTATTTTTTCAATCAACGATATAATCCTGTGCCATGTATTCAAGAAAGAATAAGTTTTATTCTTTCTATGGAACTTGATTTTTACGGAAAGCACCTCAATATTTCTTATTACCGCAAAGATAGTAATGTTAGTTCGAAAAATAAGGGAGATATAGCTATGTATGGTATAAAATATAGACAAAAAGAAAAGGAAAACAAAAATACACCAATAAACATCAAGGAATAATATATATGTAAAGTTAGAGAGACAACACCGATAGACAACATATACATAGATCATGGTTATCACTGACCTACTGCCGCGCCTGCGCAGATGTCATTGTCATCGTCATCGCTGACGGCCTCGACGTCGATTAGGGGACTACTGGTTCGAGGGTTGCTGCCCAACTCGCCTTGCAGTTCAAAATATACATTGATTACTCTTATTTTGTTTCGGGTATAAAAGTCTCGCATTAACAGTATTCGATGAGAAGAATTTAAGTATAATTACGACTAGGTAGTGACTCAGTGGCAAGTGTGTTTGCTTCTGGCCCGATGATACTGGGTTTGATTTCCAGGCAGCACACAAAAATAAAGACTGTTCGGCCATCGTTCAATGTCACGTCATCATTATATGTCAAATACGGGTTTTATGGTATCTATGAGATCAGTTCATCATTCAGAGTAATTGTTTTGAACATTTTAAGTAAGTTCCTATATTATTGATTTCCGTTTTTTTCGGCATTTATAAATTTTTTCTTGAACTCTTCAACAGTTTCGATCCCTTTAGTTCCAGTCCTTTGGACTGTTGAAATTCCTATTTCTAAAGCATTTCTAAAGCTCAACCCCGCTATATTATTTAAAAACGCTATCGATGTGTATTTTACATAGAAATATTACACCTTCGCATTGTACTTACTTTTTATACGGCGCGGCGTCCACGGGCAAGAGTGTTCTATCCCTAGATCATATATACTTACGCGGATAAATCAACGCCATAAGCATTGCGTGGAAACTTATATGGTGAAATTTTGATAAAATAATTTAGTACATACTAAAAACACGGTATGTCGCTAGTGCTAGGAAAAATAATTTTTAGAGGTTACTAGTATATTTGGTTGCCTGTGATATGCATATACAGGGTGTTTCCTAATTAATCTAAAAAATAAAAAATCGTTAGAAAACGGATTAAGGCGGGCTCTTAATAAGTTTATTTATTTTTTCTCGACAACGACAACCGTTTGATGAACAAGAAAAACTCAAAAGATCAACTTTGTTGAAAAAGGATGGCCAGTCAAGAAAAAAATATATTTTCTTTAAAAAAGCAGTGGTGTACCATTTATGTTAAGCAAAAGAATCGATTTTTTTAAATTTTTAACACCCTGTAGATCAGAAAGGAAGTACTTTAGACCCAATGGTTATATAAAAATTGTTTTAAGAACACATGAGGAATCACACCACAATTTTTGGACTAATTCGAAAACACCCCGTATATTGTCAACTTGACAATGATTGCTGATAAATCAAAAAATACCTTTTCAGTGAAAAAAGCCTGATTTTCGCAGGAAAAATGTTGATTATTATTGAATATGAACCTGCGTCTGCAAATACCGGTTTGTTTTTTAATTTTCTATCTATCTAAATTTTAAATATCATAGTCAGAAATAGTTATATTATTTATTAACCGTAAAAATGGTTTTTTTTGTTGTGTTACATCTTGCAAAGAAACTAACAAAACTGCAAAAATGCAGGTGTTTCCAAAAGACGATAAGGTATATATCTTAGATAAAAGAAAAATATATGGTATGTATTCGTAGTTTGATTTAAGTTTTATCAAATATTATGATTTACTTTCTACCTTGTAGTCAAAATTTATTTTTAATAAACTGTAAAATATATAAATATTCTTATGTTTTATTAGTTACTCTGATATACTAATATATCAGTGTAACTTTAAAAATAAATCCATTCAAATATAAACATAAAAACATTTACAGAAGAAAAGGCGAAGGCGCTGGGTTAAATGTAGTCCCTACTAAGAACACGGAGGGGCGCTTTGACCCAAAATTTTACTATTAAGTTTCATATCTATCTTAATAGAAGATTATTTTCTTTTATCTATGGCCATAAGTTAAAAAATATGTCCCCAACATCACGACATGCCATTTTCAAACCTTCTTTTTTGCACTTATGAAACGTTCAATAGGTTTGTCTTTCTCGAGGACCTGCCTTTACGCATGCGCATTAAAAGTGGCACGTATTTCCAAAATAATTACAATTTTATCCGGTTTAGAAAGTACAAATTATACATTGTTATGGAAACCAACTTTTCATTGTCATCATATTGTCACAATCTTGTCATAATCATATAATGTCATAATCAAGGAATATACCTAGCTAGAAAAAGAATGGACTCTGCCATACTGAAAAATGGTCCTACAGAAGTGGGTCATAATGTTATTTCCATTGTGTAACGACGCTTGTTTTTTGCGTTTTTTATTTTAAACATTGTATTAGTTACTCTTTTATCGATCGCTTTTATATAGCCAAGGATGCAAGTGTGTTCAGTGAGAAGTTAATTTTAAGTTTGTGCAATTATATTTTTATTTTTTATTCGTTGGGTTTTAATTTCTGGATAAATATTTGTAAAAATGACAAGAAACTGTTTGATGTGTGGAAATTATAATATAAATGTCCCCGAATTATCTTTTCATAGGCAAGTAAAGTAATCAGTTGTTCTTTTATGTATATTAAACCACATGTATACTTTCTGCTTAGATTTTCTAAGAATATTGATATTCGTACGGAGTGGCGAATTTATTTTTTATATAATTTAATTTTTGTGACAGTAACATTCAATTATTGTTGAAATATATGCATTTTACAAATTAAATTTTTAAAATTAATGTTCAAATTTGGCGCGTGGGCGATAGGTCCTCGACAAGAATAGATAGAGTAGAAGCACCACGTGTGCAACAAAAAAGAAGATAAATGGAAGTCGTTGATATGTTTGGGACAGTTTCCATAGTGATTTACTTATCCACGTAAGTATATATGATCTCGGGTTCTACCAGCGTCTCTTTTACGAGAAAAAAATCAATTTTGTTTGACAGTTACATTCGATTTTTAATTATGACATTGACATTGATCAATAAAATTATAACCCTAAATCAAATGACAATGACAATTATACTCAGTTTTTCTCAGGTAAGATTTCGACAGACGATGACAGAAAAAAAAGCAGATGACCATCCATACCACGCCATTTATTTAACTAAAAAAAGTTTCTAATATTTTTTAAGTTAAGTATGGATGGGTTTATATATAAATCCGTCATGCGTCATCTCTTGTTGTTTTTAATCAGTTTTATTGGTTTATTTTAAAAATGACAGATCATATTTCAATATTATTGATTTGGCAGAACGATGAACGACAAACGTACGCCGATGCGTATGAACTCGACTTAAGATTTTTGATTAGGTCATTTTTTATTTGTCAAACTCTTGCCAAATTATAGGTTATAATTTTGTGTCAAATTATGTCAAATAGAAATGATAAATATTTTGCATTTTGTATTTTGGACTGTGTTATTACATGTGTTTCTTGTTTTTTTTAAATTAAGTGAAGGAAAACTCGATGGAAAATTAAGAGTTGATCCAGACCATAGTTTACAGTTAATATTCAGTGCCAGAGACAGTTTTCCAGCGATTATGGCCAGATAGTTGTATTCAGGGGGGTGACAGTAAACCGGAAAATTGGAAACGGTTGTGGCGCGGTTCTACCCAGGCAGAAAGCATGGCCTTCTAGACTGTCCTAGACAAAAATCTGAATATTTCTATATGATTTCTGTCAATTTCTGCTACGGAACATTTTTATGCACGTCGGCGTCCTGTTCTTTTGTCTTTTGTCTGTGTGTCAACGTCAGCTCCCGAGGCCTCTGGCAAGGTCGGGCGCCATTTTAATGTTTGCCGTTTAGATTTGATTGGAAGTTTGTTTCTGATATTTCGGCTGAAATTTATAAGTACAAATATGTTTTTTGATATAAAGTTCCTTGTTAACACTTTAATAAAGTATATATGATATTAATTACATGAAGAAAATGATAAAATCGACGTTTCTGCGTGTAGTAGGTATGGGCCATATTATATGTAAAAGTAGGTAATATATTAACTGTTTTTATATTTTTTTAGCTTTAAACCCAAGGATCTTGGGATATTCTTTGCCAAGGATTTTTCCGTATCTCTACTTTAAAGACTGATCGGTGATTTTGAGCAATTGAAAGCAAGTTATACAAGGTAAATTATGATTATTGAACTATTATTAGCCTACATTAATTTTCTACAAGATGAACAGAAATGCGTAATTACATATCACATAGGTACCTATTATGTATTTTCATAGCAATAATGCTATAAATCTATGTATGTAGATTATTTTAAAATACAAATGAGGTATTAGATGTATATGTATCATATTTTTATTCATTTTATTTTCATTCAAGTCCTGTTTGATTTAATTCACAAAAAGTCTTATGTGCCTATATTTATGTTTTTACATATTTTTTTTGATTTCAGGTTTTGTGTGGGTTCCGGTTGCCTTTTCCTGCTTCCAGTTATTTAGTTTTATGCCCGTGAAGCTGTGAAAACATTTATTTATCTTCAAGTTTCTGTAAGTCAATGCACTGTTACTTTACTAATTCACTTTAACACAGCATCTCTGATATTATTTAAATATTTGATATTGATACAGTAGTTTATTGGATTATAGCTCTTTAATTGTGTTGATTTGCATATTTACATTGTTCTAAATTCCAAATAAATATTTTTGAGTAATTTTGTTGTATTATTTACTACTAGAAAGAGTAAAAAGTATATTAACCCTCATTTAAACCTCCTGAACAGTCCGCCATTAAAAACCGGAAACGGAAATAAATTTCATAAAATTGAAATTGTCATGTCTATGTCATGTCAAATGTCCCAGCCGCCATATCTGAAAATTAGTTACCCAGGCAGCCACGCTGTTTCCATAATTTAACATTGACTTGACACTTCTTCTTGTATTTATTATTTTATGGTTGTATTAGCCACAAATAAAGTTTGTATACCATCTTGTATATGGTACCAAACTGGAGTATCTGTATAATAGCAGCACACGATAAGTAAATAATAAAGTTTAGTACAACATAGAGATAATAGCAAAAGGTACTGGTTTACAAAAATTAAAATTAAAGTTAATTAACCAACTTTTAAGGTATAAAATTCAGGAAGTGTTAGTATTAATAAAATATTTTGTTTTATTTATGCTGTGTTTTATTTATTCCTTTGCAATCTTATTTTTTTATTTTTTCATAAGTTATATGGATAAATGTAACAATAAATGCAGGAAGTTGCTTGAGCTTGAAACACGGCTTGAAAGCCCAGGAAATCTTTTCTATATATCTTTTTATGGTATGTGTTGTTTTTTAAAATACACCCTTGCTTGTTTTGTATTAACACATACTGTAACTGTTTTGAATAAAATAACTCGATTAGATTTTTTAAATTTTATACAGTTTTTTTCACAATATTTTGAAGTAATCACTTGTCACTGAAATTTTAAATATATTAATTATTTTCTGCTATGCGTTCCAATTGTACCCAACTTATTTCTTTGTAAAATAAAATAAACTACTTTGAAAATACAATGACAGACACATCTATCACTGTCAAGGATCTTGTCGTTGGACAGACTATACTAAAAAGAATATAATAATTTGCGAAATGTCGCAATGACGTCACCAATCTCTTTTATCTGGTAGTCAAGTGATTAAGAGAGTTCGACAATAAATGTCATAGTGTTGGACGATGGTTGAACAGACCTAGGAACAGACAGTATTAAGATAAGCAGAGAGCATTTCTTGGTTGTGTCTGTAGAATATTAAAATATCTGAAAACATTAATTTTACACTTTAATTTTACCTAGTCGTAATTATTTTATTAATTACATGTTAATAAAAGAATGTAATAAATCATAATCACATGAAAACAATAAGAATAAAAATAGAAAACTATTTACTCACAGCGACAAGTTACAAAATACTAGAATGTTAGCAGTTAAAAGCAAAAAAGTAACAGATCAAATTAAAGATGTTTGCTTGGTCAGTCGATTTAACCAAGGTGTACGTTCATGCAGAATATCAAAATTGAAAATGTACTATACTTACCCCTATGAAAGTTTGTTTATATTTAAAGACTTTTGTAAAAATACATTTAAATAGAAGAATAGTTATATATTATAGACAGTGGCGTGCAATGATTTATAAAAAGGGTTTTATAAAAAAACTCTATATCATCTTTAAACAGTACAGGGTGAGTCAACGATAGAGTAAAGTCCATTATCTCATTTGTTTCGAGTTTTACAAAAAATGTTAAATAGAAAAGTTATAGGGAAGGTTAAGATACACGTTTTATATTTATTATAGACTATACAGGGTGCTCGAAAAAAGCGTGGCGAATATAACATGTTTTTTTTAATGCAAAACCCTATTTTTTATTTTATTTTTAGATTCTGCGTAAAATTACCGTTTATTATTTACATCCGCCACACTTTTTTGACGCACTCTGTATAGTCTGTAATGATTTTAGAATGTGTATCTTAACTTCCCCTATAACTTTTGTATTTAAGTTTTTTGTAAACCTCGAAACAAATGAGATAATGAACTTTACTCTATCGTTGACTCACCCTGTACAATTGTCGTTAATTAAAGACGACTGGGTAATGTCTATGATAATTTTGGCGAGGTCAATCTGTAGACGTCTTCTACTAAAAATTGACATAAAACTTGTCAAAAATTTATACTAATTATAGAAAGATTAAAAAAGGAAAGAACGTTTCCAGAACACAAATCTATTTCCAAAAATTATTTTTTTCTCGAAATTTTAACTACACCATTTAAAAACCATTTTTATTCAATATAAAAATAAATTACAACTTCAGCTCTTAAGGCCAACTGGCACTAAGCGCCATCAAAAAATAAAGAAGAATACGATCCAAGTAATGACGGCTAGAGCTTGACTTCGCTAAAATTACATTAATTGTCATTCCTCAGCCGTCTTTGACGCCGTTTTTTTTTCGATCGTAAGGCACTAGCAATGTCTTTGTAAGAAAGACTTTAGAACCATATTAATCAAATAAACAAGGACATTTTTAACGCATTGCACGCCTCTGCATCTAAAACAAACTTTCATATAATTACAAGTGCTCAGAATTTAAAAAAGAATTATAAAATATTAAAAATAACAATGGTAGAATGCTTACATAAAGCGAAATCCATTTTTCTACCTCCAGAATCAATGGAATCTGAGTCAAAAGAGTTCTCTCTGGTCGATAAGGAAGACTGAAGGGGTAAGGACATGCTCCTGTCAAATCTATCACAGAAAACACGTCAAACACCGGTATATTTATACAAAGTATCCTTCAAGTATTCGTGCATACTCACTTGGACAGTTTGGCGTTTTCCTTTGAACAAATTTTGGAGCTTTTGGGTCTCGAGTTCGTCTCCATGGAGCTCATGGTGCAACTCATGTGTATTCCGCTGTCGATAGATGGCCTCTTGATCAGTTTCTGACCGTTACTACCTCGCGTGCTTGATGATAAGTCTGACAACAGCGGACTGGGAGATGACGTGAGAAACTTGTTGGTGTCGCTGTCCAAATCGATGTTCAACATCTTTGATTTGTGATATTCGTTTCTAAAGTAAAGTTTTAATGAAAAAATAATATGTAATTTTTTTTTAATTAATTTCGAACATCTAGAGATAATATTTGGTAATTCTGAACTATATTTGACATCAATTAAACTTTTAGTTACGTAATCGAGTATCTTATCTTAAGTGCTGTTAAGAAGGTGAGTTTTGTTGATGTTAATAATAACTGTTGGATATAAAATGTGTCACTCTGTATATGTTTTTGTGCGTTTATTACACCAATCGATATCTACATCTATATCTATCTATTTATCTACCTTGTAACTGCTCCAGGTCTTAGGAAAACCCCGTCATGACTCTTGCTGTTAGACGAAAGGGACGCTAAACTTCCAATACTGCTCGCCGGACTGATAACTGTAGGCGAAACGTTGTCCATACTCGACTGACTAGAATGCAACAACATGTTGGCTTTGTCTCTTCGAAGCTCTAGTTTCTCCAGCTCGTCTACCAAATCCGTATGGCTGTTAGTTCTGGCGCACTCTAAGGCTGTTTGATTCTGTTTGTTTTTAATGTTGAGAGCTGTGTGGTTCCATTTGTAGAGCATTACGGCTGTTTCGGTATGCCCACGTTCACAAGCCCACATCTAGAGAGAAAAAATCATAAATTTGTTATACAAGACAAATATGAGCGCTTTGTATAATGTTTCTAACAACACAAAATAAAATACCTCTTCCAACCATTCTTTCACCACATCAACCTATTAAAAAAACAGTTGTTTGTCGATCTACTCGAACTACTCAAAAATATTTGTTCTCTCTACTAAGTGTTCACTCTGAATGACTTTACACTCTTGACACGGAACAACAGCACATCAGAGTTTCCAGGCGTTCACCCGTCCATCTAATCGCATCATCTATAATGAATATTACCGTAGGTACATAAGATGAGGCCAGAAACTTGTCAACTACCCCCTACAATTTCAGAGGAACTAAATATCCGACGATCTTTAAGGGCGACCGGCCACTGCGAGCGTAACTAAACTAAGCTAAGAATATGAAAACAACAACAACACACAATTAAATGGGAACTCCACTGGGAACGATTTTCGCTCAGTAGTCAGCTAAGTTTTCGTATTGTATCTCTGCTATCATAAAAATCTTCGCTTAGTTTAATTTGTGACGATCAACACATTGAAGGAAACTAGGAACTACCATCAAGGCCAAGCAGCAAGTGACGTGGCAACACCGCGAGGACTCGGCTACAGCTCGAAGACTATGGCTAGAAACCATAAAGACTAAAGAAGAAACTATAGGGCATCTGCTGTGCCACTGTCCTGCACTGGAAAACCGACGCTTTAAAAATTTAGGGCACGGTTTTTTGGAAGAACTAGAGGAAGCAGTAGAAGTCAACAACAACGACATCGGAAACTTTGCAAAGAGCTGGAACTGCTTTAACGCAAAGAAAGAATGAAAGGAAGGTTTGGTACAATAATATAGAGTAATAATGACAAATTATTTTTTCCAAATTACTCTAAATCTATTGGGTATTTCCACGGTTCCTTCCACTGTTTTTTACTCGTCTATTATAAATAGTTAAACTAACTACTATCTAAGTAAATATATTAATAAATTAATTACCAAAGGTGTATATCCAAATTCGTCTTGGCTCAAAGCATCAACTTCCGTTTCTAGAAGCAGGGAGGAGTTTTCTGCTCTCCAATGTAACATGGCGCAAACTAGTCTGGAGTATCCTAAGGAAGCTGCTAGATGAAGCAACGTCATACCTAAAACACCACAATTTATATTGATATGCTTATAAAAGAGTTAAAAAAGTGAAATTACCTCTGTGACTAGCAAACCAGGCTACACTAAGTTCCTCGCCAAACTTCCAGATCCTCGAAGTCATGTTCTGGCAAAAATTTACTAATCTGTCTTCGAAATTTGACTGTGTAAACAGTGCCGTATCTTCTACCTATTAAAAGAAGTTTAGATTTTACCATATATTTTCAAACTTTACTAGGATATGACAGAGCTGATAACTTCTGCGTAGATCAGCATATTTATGGTATAAATATCATAGTAATAAATAATATTTTTTTGCCTTTAGCTGTGTATTTTTTCTAATTTCGAAAAATCGAAAGTAGAGAGAAAAAAAGTAAAAAGAAAATAGTTTTGCTTGTCGTAAAGGGGGGAACCAAGCTCCCCTCACACAACCGGTTACTGGGCCTACCCTTCATCAGGTGGGCTGTCCAAGGGCTGGTTCTCACCGATACGGCAAGCAAAACTTCTTCTATATCAACAAACGATGTCGTAAAGTGTCGGTGAGATATTAGTGCATCTCCCGTCAAAAGATAGTAAAGAGCGTTTTTCGGCCCGCTCAAATATATATGAAATGAACAAAATTCTTACAGCTTTAGTGTATATTAATAAATAATATTTTCTTGCCTTTAGCTGTGTATTTTATATATATTTGAGCGGGCCGAAAAACGCTCTTTACTATCTTTTGATGGGAGATGCACTAATATCTCACCGACACTTTACGACATCGTTTGTTGATATAGAAGAAGTTTTGCTTGCCGTATCGGTGAGAACCAGCCTCTGGACAGCCCACCTGATGAAGGGTAGGCCCAGAAACCGGTTGTGGGAGTGGAGCTTGGTTCCCCCCTTTACGACAACCAAAACAATTTTCTTTTTATTTTTTTTTCTCTACTTTCGATTTTTCGAAATTAGAAAAAATACACAGCTAAAGGCAAGAAAATATTATTTATTAATATACACTAAAGCTGTAAGAATGTTGTTCATTTCATAAATATCACAGTATAGATATATATGACCAACTGCCACAGTTCTGAAGCTAAAGGGCATCGATATAATAAAACATGGCTAATTTGGTTCCTAAATGCCCAGAGTGGCGGGCTGTATTTATTAATCAATACTCCTGAATAATAATAATACATTCGGGGTTACAACAGCAAACTAAATCACTAATTTACACAGTTGTAAATGATTTACACATCCGCAGATACTTAACACTTTTTTTAGTCGAGTTTTAATCACTTGTTGATGACGCTTGTTGTCTGACGCGCGTCCAGTGTTAAAAGTAAAGTGTTTAGGTGTAGTTTGGTAAATTATGTCGTATAAATAGAAGGTTATTTAATCCATCGTGGTGCCCCACGTTGGGCGCCATAATTGTGTTTGATTTACTATATTTCTTAGTCTTCGGCTGCAAGATGATTTAGATAATCATTTTTTGAAATTAAACTATAACATGACAAAATTATCTCTTCAGTTTTCAACTAGAGTTAACATTGACAGCTCTTAACGGATATGTATATTCGCCCTTTGTCGCATTTTGACGATACAATTTTTTTATTGGAAATTTAATAAGTTGGATTTATTCCTTATTCCTATGATAATTAGTGGGTTTTATTTTGCCAAACTTTACTGCTATTGGTGTTTAAAAAAATGTAATACTTTTTTGGTGTGAACAAATAACATTAATGAGCAAATGCAAGACGGTCTAGCAGTTAATAAGTAAGTAATCTTGGTCTTGTAGGGTCTAGTCTTTGTCTAGTCTTGGAAGGCCCTTGCAGGTATTTCATTTTTTTTATAGATTTTTATTAGGTGTACTTCTATATGGAAAACCTTTAAATAAATGGTATCTTTGGTAATTTGTTGCAGATAAATCTTTAAAGAAAGAAATTATTAGAATTCAACATATTATATTGAATCAGCATTTCTTTATTTAAAATTTTATGCAATAGGCAGGAAAACACTATTTATAATAAATTAAAATAATAAGTTTGTTGAAAAAAATGCAAGAAGACAAGCCCGCAAACGTCTTGAATGCTTGGTCTTGGTGTTGCGGAAGTCCTGCACTGGTCGGTCTTGTTCTAGAAGATTAAATGCTAGTCTTTGACTTGCTTTCTATACAAGACCAAGACCGCATGTCCAAGGCAGTATCGCTTCTCACTAAATAAAATATATACTTACTGCTTCGTTATCTAATGGTTCTTGTTTTATTTGCAGACGATCGTCCATCGCCTCGAGCCTCTGCAGCAGAGTGAATTTTAGCAGGTTGTCGTTGGACCGTTCGATTTTGGGTTCGGGAGCGGCTAATTGTTCCTCCTTGGGGGGCAACTTGTACTCGAATATCACAGAGTTGGAGATCACATAACCGTCGCAGGCTACCTGTAGCGTGGCCAGGCCAGCTTCATGAGCTAAACAAAGAGGAAATAGTAGTTAGGTTAGTAGAAATTTGGACGTAAACATAATAATTTTAATTTATCAATAAATAATTACCTGGACAATAACACCTTAGTACACCGCTTTGTACCAAAGTAGTTGGAACAGGGAATGTATCAAAAAGGACCGTGTAGGGTCCGTTGGAGTGCCAGGGACCCGTTACCAGGACTTTCACTCCTCCTTCGGGATAAGCCCATTCGGGTGAGTAATCAGTTATTTTCGCTGAACCTTAAAAATAAATAAAAACTTAGTCATAAATCATTTGTAGAGATAATATTACTATCATTAAACATGTTTAGAAAGCGTGTTTAGACTTGCGCGTAGTCATTTTCAATTTCACTGTACTATTGTAAGTGAAATGTAAAGCACTTTTTTTGTCTTTAATATAATAATAATACACTTTATATCAGACTGAATTAAAAACCCTCTTTTATTTTTCGTTTTTAAAATCTACTCTTTGTCCTGTGTCCCATGCAATCGCCGTTGCTTAAAAATAATCTTTATGTTCTTTAATTCGAATTTTTAAGAGTCCAAGTGGCAAATTACGCATATGGCATTTTTGAAGAGATGAATCCCCACAGAGGTATAGATATTTTTTAGAAGTGTTTCAATTGAAACGTCAAACAGAACTGTCAAGGATGGGGATCTATGATGTAGATTCCGTCTATACTCTGTTTTTTTCTCAGGTAAGATTTCGACAGACGATGCCAGAAGAAAAGCAGATGACGTCCCATACCAGTCTATTTATTTTACTAAAAAAAGTTTCTAATATTTTTTAAGTTAACTATGGATGGGTTTAAAATATAACTCCGTCATGCGTCGTCTCTTGTTGTTTTTAACCAGTTTTATTAGTTTATTTCAAAAATGACATACCATATTTCAATTTTATTGGTTTGACGGAACGATGAACGACAAACGGACGCCGATGCGCCTTTTAAAAGTCTTTAGATTTTTGAGGCTTGTCAAAGTCTTGCCAAATTATAGGTTATAATCCTAGGTTATAATTTTGTGTTAACTTATGTCAAATACCCTGCGTTTTGGAAGATGATGCATTTTGATTCGTGTTATTACGTGTGTTTTGTGTCTTTTGAAGTCAAGTGGAGGAAAAATCGAGGGAAAATTAACAGGAGACCCAGAGCACAGTTTATAGTTAATACTCGCTGCCCAGGCAGGAAGTCTTATACACCAATAAAGTTACCATCAATAAAATTTGTATACCATCTCGTCGTAGATAAGTGCATCTCGTATATGGTACAAGGATCGTACTAAACATATACTAAAAACTGGAGTAGCTGTAAAATATCGACATCACACGATACGTAAATAATGGATTTTAGTACTGCAGAAAAATAATGTCAAAAGGTACTGGCTTGAAAAAATTAAGATTAAAGTTAATTAATCAACTTTTGAGGTATAAAATTTGGTAAGTGTTATTATTAATAAAATAGTTTGTTTTATTTCTTCCTGTGGATATTACAAATTTGTATTTGTATATAAGTTATATTGATCAATATAATAATAAATGCGGGAAGTTTCTTGAAGCTTGAAAGTAAAAAATAGCTCTTTTTTATATTTTTTTTAGGTATGTGGTGTTTTGTTCTTGTTTATTTTGTATTTACACATACCGTTTTTTTAAATAAAATAACTCGGTTACATTTTTTCAGTTTTATACAGTTTTTTTCACAATATTTTGAAATAATCACTTGTCAGTCAAATTTTAAATATAATAATTTCCTGCTATGCGTTCCAATTGTATCAACTTATTTCTTTGTAAAATAAAATAAACTACTTCGAAATTAAAATGACAGACACATCTATCACTGTCAAGGATCTGGTCGTTGGACAGACTATAGCATGCATGAATACATGGGCAGCACTATACTCCTTTCTTAATCTTTTTATTCAAAGGCCGCTAAAGGATACTAATAATTCTCTAACTACGAGATATTTTAAGTTAACCTATACCTTCTAGATTGTGGCCTCCGTTTTGGACTTGCTGTTGCCCGTGATTGTGAGGCATGTTTTGATCGGTATGGTTCTTCCCACTATTGCTATTTCTACTTGCGTCGGACGGATTAACATCTAAGAGGGAAGCGTGACTAGATTCTAAGCCTTCGAGCTCGGGGAACTCCCCGAGCATGTCGAAAGCGTCGAGGTTGACGAAAACGTCGTCGTCGACAACGTGAGTGGGTGATACTACGACGTCACAGTTGTCAATGAAGTCCATGGGGTTTATATCACCTAAAGGAATTATTGTTATTATTATTATATACTAAGGGCTGGCAAAGGTTAGTTTTGGGTCGAGATTGCCGTATGTAAGAAGAGTACAATGCGTTTATAATGTACTGAACAAAAAGCGAACAGTAAAACGTTGCCAAACGTATGAAATAAACCGAGAAGCTGTGCATATTGCTAAGAGACATGGAATATAGCAGATTTGTCGCGGTCGACCGGTCGATCCACTTAGTACCTCTGTCAGTGCTTAAAATTCATCAAGCGTTCAGCGTCACGATTTAATTACGTCTCGTGATACTTTATTTGTTTATTTATTAACGAGTCGTTGTAATTTTTCCTATAGCTTCAAAATTTTTAAGTGCAAATTAGAACCACTTGTATTTTTGGCAAAATAAGTGGAATTGAGTTGGTGTTCGACAGTGGTCGCGCTATTAGAACTCTGAATTCAAAAATCGATATCTCAAAATCCAGTAGAAATAATTGATTGTAGTTTTTTCAAAAACTTTCTTAATATTTCTGTTATATTTTCTTCGCAGACAGTATATGAAAATCTTTGTAAATAAAAAAGTTACACGACTGCTGAAAATTGCTATAAACTAAAAGTAAATGGATGGGTTTTTTAAAAAAATTTAATGGAAAAAACAAGCCTATCGAAACATCTTGTAAAAGATCCGATCTTCCAAATAAAATAAAGTTTCAATATATAAAGTGGTTCTTAAGTTGTGGCGGCACACCGTCGCATTTCTCTCACTCCAATAAGATCCCTATGCGATTTACTTCCACACTGTAAATACCGACCCAAAAGTAACAGTTGCCAGCACGGTATGAATTAAACAAACAGTATATTTTATACATTTTATTTTGAAGAGGCCACATTTGACAGCTAATTTTCAAATTCACTAAAATATAAGGTCAATTTTGAACTTCTCGTTAGTTTTTACGAATTTGTGTAACAAATTAAGGTCGAAGATAATTTGTGAATTGATTGTATTCAATTTGTACAAACAATGATGGACCTTGTCACTAACATCTGACCACTTTACATATCTTAAGGACCCCCTTACCAGTTAAAGTAGGTTGTTCGTTTCGTTTTTTGATTTGCTGATTCGCATTGTTGTTCTCACTCCCCTGGTTTTGATGGTGGCTCTCTAGATCGCTTGAACACATGGGCATATTGGCCGAGAGGGTCCTCTGGATGTCCTCCTGGGACAGATCCAAGGTTTCGTTGAAGAACGCCCCGTTAATAATGGAAGAACCGTCGCTTTTGCTCACTAGGGAACCGCTAGAGTCTGTTCCTAAAAACAAAAATGACATAAACCTCAAATTTTCGACTAGCAAAACAAGTAGATTATTACCTAACAGCACAACCGTATCGTCACAGAAATTCTGATGCTTAAAATCCTCGGTAGTGACGTCGTCGTGTCCAGTGTCCATCAGTTTAGAAGGAGTGGACGGTGCGCTGGACATTACGACTTCGGTCTGGGATTGTGATCTGAAAATGGTCCGTCTGAGAATATTCCCAGATTACCGAAAAGGGGAAATGTTAGTAATAATGTTAGTAATAACGTTAGTAATAATGTTAGTGATAATGTTGATCTACAGAATTAAACTCCTTAAATTGCAACGGGCTGGCCTTCTGGTTAAGGCAAGTCTTCTGTGCGTGGTATATATACATTGAGTGAGAGTAGCAATGCTATGTTAGCCTGCGTACTGGGGCACGGGGGTTACAAGGGTAACAAAAATGCAGACCAAATGGACAAACAAAACTCATCAATGCCATTCATAGGCCCAGAACCCTCTTGCGGCGCTGCAAAAACAGTCACAAGAATGTCCACAATACAGTTGGTAGCCAACGAAGCTCTAGAATAATGGAGAAATTCTCCAGGGCACAGACAGCCTAAAAAGTTCTGTCAAAATTTATGACAGACCTGATAAGCAAAGACAGCAATACTGTCAAAGCTGTAGTATGTCTATTAACAGGACATTGTAGGCTTAATAAGCATCTAAAGCTGATGGAATTGACGAAAGAAGCCATGTGCAGGTTCTATCAATCTGAAGAAGAAATGATAGAACACATTTTATGCTAATGCGACAGCCTGACATGTGCGGTTCTAAGTATTAGACAATGAAAGTTATATGGAGTGTTGAGTCTCCAAGTTGTTAGCTTTCTGAGCAGGATAGGACTGAAGAATAGAGTTACTAGAACTTAGAGATCAGAAGAGAACCACAATAGATTTGAAAACGTCGCAGAGGAACAGGCCAATAGTCACCTCAAAAATCATATCTAATCTAAGTAAGGACTGACTAGTACTAAGAAGCGAAAAAAAAACAAACTTGACACCCTAATCTAAGACGACATCAGAAAATAAGTAGGAACAAAATGACATCAAACAGCACAAAAGTAAACAGTTTAAGAGTGAAGAATATTACACTCACACATTGTTCCTTGACGTTTGCTGATGCTGTTGATGTTGCTGATGACCTTGCTGCTGTTGTATACTCTGGCTAGCGTATATATTGCTCTCAAACATTGATTGTCGTAGATTTTCATTAAGTTCCATCTTGCTCTCCCTTTGCTGGCTGCTTTTCGGTTCCTGCTTAGTCGCCGAAGGATGTAGGCATGAGACGTTTGTGTCCATCACTTCTTGTTTCAGAATGAGATGGCTGTAACAGTATTTAGTGTAATTTTGATGAAATATTATGTGCTAAAAAGGTGGTAACCTTGCTCGCTGTTCTTTAACTAACGTCCTGTTGGTGTTACACGTCATAAAGTTGGCAACGGAGACGGGATTGACCAAATTCTGATGGTTTGTACTGTTCGTATTGCTGTTAAGGATTAAAAGACCTCCGCTTCCTAAAATATAAGAATATTGAGTTTTCACAGGCTGATTTTTGGTTTACAAAAAATATCTAAACAATACATATACGGTTCATATCAAATAAACTTTTAGTTACGTCATCGAGGGCGCGGTTTTTAAATTAATTGTTGTCAACCATGGACATATTCCGCGCCGTGCTGACTAAGTGAAATTTAAACTTCCCGTTGGGGGTTCAGGTGGCAGCTCTGCTGTAAAAAATGTCAAGTTGCTGCATTTATTTATTTATTTCCTGACATTGTCATTCGTTTTGACACTTTAGATAGACGTTTTTTACTATGAGTTTTTGGTTTAAATAAATACTGTGATACTTAGTGGTTTACTTGTGATAATAAGCTTAAAAATGATTATTTCTTAATTCTTTTTGGAACCTCTTTTAATGCGAAGTGTACAAGATAGCTTAATAACCGTAAAAAACTCATCGCAACTTTATTAGAATATTTTGAACAGGAAAGCGGTCGTAATGGCCCTTTATGTACCTTAAGTGCTTTTAAGAATGTGAGTTTTGTCGATGTAAGTAATAACTGTTTATATATTTATAATTAATTTATTTTTGTTTCCTAAAATATTTTGATTAAAAGAAAATATATAAAAGTGCACAACGCTGTGAGGGTCAAGCTTAATCACGTGACTAAAATTTATTGGTATGAACTGTACATAATATAATACAAGGCAACGCTAGTCCAATAAAATTTTCAAGCAATCTTTGGATGTCTCGTATAAGAATGCACAATACAGATATCTTGTAAAGCAGAAGAGATACAAATGTTACTAAATTAGGTCCACAATTAGTGTCTATTCTTATATGGGACACCGTGTATATTTAGAGAATTATATAGAATATTACAGAAATTTATAGAATTGTACAAACCTTGTATTTGGGATAAACTCAAAACCAATGGTGGCGTGTTGGCCGGACTAGAAGAACAGTTGCTGTTATTTTGGGAACTCAACTGACCACTTCGATCTCGTGAATAAACTCTGGGGGAATTGTTATTATTTAAGTGTAGGGATCCTGAACCAGTTGTTGAAGACACCTATAAAAAATATATTAAATATTAAGACAAACAGGTTGTTATTATATATTCGATTTTTTTAGTTTAGATGATGAGAGGAGATATATTTTTTCAACGAAACTAAATACATTAATTCAATGACAAAAACTCATATTAAAAATGCGATTCTCTTAGTGATGTGTGATATATTCTGTATTAGATACATAGTTGTAAGAACACATGGGTATTATACCTGATTGCTGCTTTCTGATGTCGAATTGGAATTTCTAGAATTTGTACTTGAACTTGGAAGAGGGGAACTGGACTTCGCCGATGTTATTCTGCGCATTGGATGGGAACAACTTTTTCCGTCTGCGCAGGTCGAATCAGGACATCCGCACTCCAGCTGTTTTACCTGCAGATTTACATCATTTCGTTCTGAATGGTATACAGGGCGTGAAAAAAGTTTTAATAAACATCGGCGAGGTACAAGGACTATATATATTCTAAAGGACTGTTCGATCGCGTCAAATCGCCGCTGTCGTAGTCGCCGTGGAATGCTACGTCACGCGCTGACCAGCGCTCCACAGTGCGGCGGATGGTTATTCTAGCGGGACAAAATCTCACGAGCAATGTTTGGGACTTAAAATCTAAGAACGTAGCAAATGGTCTAATATATAGCAACTATATGGTTAAATTTATTTATTTGTTAACAACTTAATTTATTAATAAATAAATACAAGATAATAAAACTATGAGATTATTCGTACATGACACACAAAAACAGTATTGTAAACTATTGCCAAATACATAAAATTATGATATTGTTGCGGGCCGGTGTGGACTCGACCTAACCTCACAATATGGCCCGCCCTCGGATGACCTTAACATCGCATAGACACCGCAATGATTCATTCGTTCGAGAAGAATCGAGTCCCACTGGAATGGACTAGTACATACGAGAACATTCGAAAACCTTCTCTACGCAACGATCTATGGACAATTCTAGAGTTCTTTACCTGTCGGTATAAAAGCCGGAGGCGGTGGCCTACAGGGGGCAGTTATAAATATACAGTTGACGCGCTAAAATTCAAAATAACTTCTTAGTTATAAATCGTTTGTAAATAGTTCTATAAGTCTTTTATCGTTATTATTTTTGTTAATTAGTGTTAAATAAATAGTGTTTAATAAATTGTGACTTTCTGTCCACACGGAACCGACGAAAAACGTAACAATTGGTGTCAGGTGTGGCGTGTGTGATAAGAAAAATAAAAAAGACTAACAATGGCTCGAAGAAATTGTTGAAAGACTTGAAAGTGTCCGAACTGAAACCATATTGGAAGAGAGAGAGTGCGAGACAGATGGAAAGAAAAGTATTTTGCAAACCAGACTGAGAGACGTTTTGAGGGAGGAAGGCGAGGATCCGGACACATTTTGCTTTGAGTTCGAAGGTGACCTTGACTCGTGCCTACAAAAATTAGAAGATAAAATGACGGAAAACTCTCAAAAATTAGAAGACAGTTTGAATGACAAATTACAGAAAATTCCCGAGAATTGCAAGACAATTTAAACGGCAATTTGAATAATTTAGAAGATAAAATCAGTGATAAAATGATGAAAAATTCCCAGGATTTAATTAATATTTTAGAAGATAAGATCGCAGAAAATTCTAAAGATATACAGGCCAGCTTTAATAATAAAATACAGGAATTAGAAGAATTATAATAGATACACATTTATTAGACATTATTTATTATAAAATAACAGAGATTGAGGAAGATGTAAATAGAAAAATCGAAATTTTAAAAGAAGAAATAGCGAAGTCAAATTCACCAAAATGTCAAGAAACATCGGAGGGACCGAAACTAGTCGAAAATAGGTATACCTCAAAATCAGTTATGAAACCTCCGCAGTTTGACGGAAAACCCGCTTGGGCCAGCTACTTTTGCCAATTTGAAGCCGCTGCGAGAGCAAACGGCTGGACAATCGCTGAAAAAGCTACCGCTTTGACTATCACACTGCGGGGAGATGCGACTGATATCCTGCAGACACTCTCACCATCGGAACAGGGAGATTATCAGCAATTGGTACGACATTTAGAAATGAGGTACGGCCAAGCTCATTTGGAACATGTCTATCATTCACAGCTAAAAAATCGCATTCAAAAGTCAAATGAGTCTCTGCAGGAGTTTGAAGCCGACGTAGCCCGCCTGGTTCGCCTTGCGTATCCTGCTACGCCCGAGAATGTTATGGAGCGGTTGGCAGTACAGACATTCTCCGATGGCTTACGTGACAGGGAGACAAGGCAAGCGCTTCTTCTAGCCCACCCAACGCGCTTGGTGGATGCTTTAGCACGTGCCCTAGAATTTGAGGCCGCGAAACAGTTCTCGGTCTCTAGTGAGAGTACGGGCGGTCAACCAATGTTCCGACAAATCCGTGGAAAGCATTGTACGGAAAGTCATGGAGGAGTACATGGGCAAGAAAGGACCGACTTGTTGCTGGAATTGCGGCCAGGCAGGACACGTAAGAAGTCACTGTCAAGAAAAAGACGTGGACTCGGTTTCGCCAAGTGTCGAATCAAAGGGACACATATGGAGCAGTACCCAACAGGTTCCAACGAAAACTGTTCAAGTCGCATCGCTACAACACAAGTTCAACAGCATTTTTGTGGCTAGTTTCGTGGATGGAGAGTTACGGACCATGCTGTTGGATACGGGTGCGACCAAAACGATCATCAGGCCGGATATCCTTAAAACATCAAAAAGGATTAAAACAACACAATGGCGACTACGTACAGCTACAGGAAGCTGCGCTCTCATCCATGGAGAGGTAGATCTTAATTTTGTTATCGGAAGCACCTGTTTTAATCATCGAGTGTTAGTAGCAGACATCGAAGATGAACTTATTCTCGGAATGGACATCGTGACCACTAGAGGTTTTGAACTAAACCTCAAACAAGAAATTTTGAAAATAAATGAAGAAGAAGTGGTTCTACATCGAAAATGTGAGGAGACGCTTCGCGTGGTAGTAGCAGAAGATGTTTCGATCCCTGAGCGCTGTGAGATATTTTTGGATGGTCGCCTGGAAGGTAAAACGAATAATGGGAGTATTATTCTGTTGGAGCCAAGGAACCATGACAGCGAAATAGGACGAGGGGTCGCTGTTGGAAAACCCCTGCTACGAGCGAAGAAGTCTGTACCGGTAAGAGTAATGAACACGAATTATCATTCTGTATCCTTGAAGAAGGGAACCCTGTTAGGGTACTGTTGTTCGGCCTCCTCAGTCATTCGAAGCGTGGAAGCCTCCAAAGTTTCGATTTCAAAAATTCCGGACAAAATGGTTAAGGAGTTAGTAAACGTTAAGGGATTATTTCCCGAAGATAGTAGAAAATTGAGAAACCTGATAATCAAGTATCAAGATGTGTTTGATAAAGGAGAAGCAGGACATAGAGGTCGTACCAATTTAGTACAACATAAAATTGACACCGGAGATGCACGACCAATCAAACAAAATCCGAGTAGACTGCCGCTCGCCAAACGTGAAGAAGCTGACAAAATCCTTCGAGAAATGAAAGAAGAGGGTGTCATCGAACCATCTAACAGCCCGTGGACATCGCCGGTAGTACTAGTAAAGAAGAAAGACGGTACCACCAGGTTCTGTGTTGATTATCGGCAACTTAATAATGTTACCAAGAAGGATAGCTATCCCCTGCCGAGGATAGACGATACTCTAGACAGGCTGGCGGGATCGACTATATTCTCTACCTTAGATTGAAGAGTGGATATTGGCAAGTCGACATGGCGCCGAAAGACAGAGAGAAGACAGCGTTCTCGGTGGGCTCCGGACTGTGGCAATTTACCGTCATGCCTTTTGGATTGTGCAACGCGCCAGCTACCTTTGAGAGACTAATGGAGTCTGTGTTAAAGGGACTATCCTGGATACCTGTTTAGTGTACCTGGATGACATCATAGTGGTTGGGAAATCCTTTGACGATCATCTGAAGAATTTGGAAGAAGTTTTCAAGCGACTAGGGAGCTCTGGTTTGAAACTTAGCCCCAAGAAATGTCATCTGTGTCAAGAAAGGTACACTACTTGGGCCATGTAGTCTCCTCCCAAGGAGTTGCGGTAGATCCACAGAAGACCAAGACAGTGGAAGAGTGGCCGATACCTAAAGATAAACATGAACTACGAAGTTTTTTGGGACTATGCACATACTATCGCCGCTATGTACAGGGTTTCGCCACCATCGCAAAACCATTGACCAGACTTACCGAAGGCGAGAGGCGTTTCTCTTGGGACTCAGATTCTGACGAGGCATTCCGAAGATTGAAGAAGGCCCTGACTAGTGCGCCCATACTTAGCTACCCCCTTGGCAACGGAAACTTTATATTGGATACCGACGCTGGCAATGTTGGATTAGGCGCTGTTCTGTCTCAAATCCAGGATGGTCAAGAAAAAGTAATTGGTTATTTTAGTAAGACCTTGTCAAAACTGGAAAGGAACTACTGCGTGACCAGACGAGAATTACTAGCCGTAGTTAAAGCAGTGGAACACTTCTACAAGTATCTCTATGGAAGAAAGTTCTTGTTAAGAACAGACCATGCTGCTTTGAAATGGCTGTTGCAGTTTAAGAATCCTGAAGGGCAGGTAGCTAGATGGATCGAACGATTACAAGAATTTGACTTCGACACAGAACATCGAGCTGGGGCAATCCATCGAAATGCCGGCGCACTTTCCAGAAGACCTTGCGATAAGGACTGTAAGCATTGTTCCCGAGCAGAAGAGAAAGAAGCGAAACTCGTAAGAACAACTGTGGTTAATGATACTTGGCAACCCGAAGATCTTGCAAATGACCAAACCAGTGACCCAGAATTAGGTTTAGTAATTAACTAGAAAAATGCAGACCTAAGACCAACGTGGGAAGAAGTTTGCAGATATTCGCCGAACGTAAAGTCGTACTGGGCTCAGTGGAATTCCTTGGTAATAGATAACGGACTACTTCGCCGTGTGATCGAGAGACCGGAGGGACAAGAAGAGAGAAGGCAGATCGTCATTCCAAAGAAGAGGATCCCGGAAGTCTTGGAGGAAGTTCACAATGGAACCAGCGGTGGACATCTCGGTGTTACCAAGACACTTGCAAGCTGCGGGAACGGTTCTATTGGGTGAACTGCAAAGGAGATGTGAGGAAATGGTGCAAGAAATGTGACGTTTGCGCCGCCATCAATGGACCACAAAAGCGCGGTAAAGCCCCAATGCGCCAGTACAATGTAGGCAGTCCCTTCGAACGAATAGCGATCGACGTGGTTGGTCCTTTCCCAGAGTCGAACGATGTCAACAAATATATTGTGGTAGTAATGGATTACTCCGCAAATGGGTCGAGGCCTACGCGTTGCCAAATCAAGAAGCGTCCAGATTGCTGATGCCCTTGTTAAAGAATGGATCTGCAGGTTTGGTGTTCCCATGGAGCTTCATTCAGATCAGGGAAGAAACTTTGAGTCCAATCTGTTCCAAGGCGTCTGTGAAGTCCTGAACATCCGCAAGACCAGGACGACTGCTCTACATCCACAATCCGATGGGATGGTTGAACGCATGAACAGAACTATCAACCGTTATCTGGCCAAAGTAGTCTCTGACCACCAAAGAGACTGGGACAAATTTCTTCACCTGTTCCTGTTGGCCTACCGTTCATCCGTCCAAGAATCTACAGGGCAAACTCCAGCCAGCATCGTTATGGGACGGGAAGTGCGCCTACCCTGTGATCTGAAATTTGGTTGCCGACCGGGAGAAGAAGTCGCCGGAGAAGATTATGTCCACACACTACGTCAAAGGATGGACGACATTCATCAGAGAGTCCGCCTAAATATTCAAAGTGCTAGTGACCGAATGAAGGAACACTACGACATTCAAGCTGAGCATGGAGGATACCAACCAGGGAAGTTGGTGTGGCTATATAACCCGCAGAGACGTCGTGGGTTATCTCCGAAGCTACAATCCTCGTGGGAAGGGCCATACGAAGTCATGGATAGAATTAATGACGTCGTATACCGTATCAGAAAATTGCCAAAAGGAAAACCGAGGGTAGTCCATTTCAACCGTTTGAGCCCCTACCAAGGCGAAATAGAAGATCGTGCTGGGACCGTGAGAACCTGCAGCTTTGATCCCCCTGATTCGGAGATGTCCTTTGACGATTTCATGGCCCGATACAACAGCAGTGAGAAGGCTCGCTATGGTGTAACCAAAGAAGATCAACGAGACCTCTTTTCCGTGCCTCCTGATTATTCGCTCGCTCATTGTGTGGCTCGAGATTTGCGGATGTCCAGAGGAATCGCTGCGACGTTCAATGAGAAGTTTGGGCGTGTCGGAGAACTACGCCGACAGGATCCAGAGGTTGGAAGCGTCTTGAGGCTAACCGACAATGAACATGGTCAAGCAAGGCACATTTTCTACCTAGTCACCAAGGAATGGTCCCCAAGTAAGCCGACTTATCTCAATCTATGGAAGACCCTGATTGAACTAAGAGAAGCCCTGCTAAACAACAATATTACACGATTAGCCATTCCGAAGCTGACGTGTGGACTCGATGGTTTGAGTTGGCGTACAATCCGGAACATGATTGAAGTCTTGTTCAGATTTACGGGAATCGAGATCCTCGTTTGCTGCTAAAACCCAAAGCTGAGATCGGGAGAGAAAACTGTAGACTGCCATTTCTACCAGACTTCTCAATGTACCAGGGGCCAGCTTTGCAAATACCTTCATTCACCGTGTACATCTCGGGACGAGCATGTACCTAAGAAGGAAGCAGTGTTGCGGACCCGTGTGGACTCGACCTAACCTAACTGTATGTTCCGCCCTCAGATGACCTTAACATCGCATTAAAGAATAGACACCGTAATGATTCATTCGTTCGAGAAGAATCGAGTCCCACTGGAATGGACTAGTACATACGAGAACATTCGAAAACCTTCTCTATGCACCTGACGATCTATGGACTATTCTAGATTTCTTTTGCTGTAGGTATAAAAGCCGGCGGCTGTGGCCTACAGGGGGCAGTTATAAATATACCAGTGCAGTTGACGCGCTAAAATTCAAAATAAATTCTTAGTTATAAATCGTTTGTAAATAGTTCTATAAGTCTTTTATCGTTATTGTTTTTTTGTTAATTAGTGTTAAATAAATAGTGTTTAAATAAATTGTGACTTTCTATCCACACGGAACCGACGAAAAACGTAACAATATCAAAAAACTCTTTAGCAGTTTTTTTTAATTAATTTGTAATCTTGTGACACCCTCTATAATTTATTTAAAAAAATATATATTTTATTTTGAAAATAATAAATAAGATAGATATTTTAATTTTAATTTTAACACTCGGTAATTGTAAATTCATATATAGTAAGTATCTAAGACAATTTTTTAAACTCAGTGCCTTTTGATGGAGTTGTTTTGTTTTTATACTATCCGATTGAAATGAATCTTTTTGGGCATTCACCTGTTAAGCTTGAACTCCCTGTGACTGCGACTACCTGTGTTGGTAACTATTGGTAACTCAAAAGATCTACATCATTCAATATATCGATATTTGAAAAAAAAGTGTAAGTTTGATATCTGCAGAACAAAGGCACGAAGGATTTTAACAAATAATATACATACAGTAGAAAAGTACATACCTTTGGCAATCTTCAACATAATTTGGCTTTCTAATAAAATGTATAAGCATTTGTAAATATTTTGTTTTCGTATGATCTCTGCCTTGCTGAGCAGAAAACGACCAAATTTGGTTGATAAAAATGTATCGAAATACAAAGATATTCATGCATTTTGTATCAATTGGAATGTCTACTATTTATTCTTATCAGTACACATTTTTTGGCTTATTTCTAACCAAACGCTTTTGTCCCGCTAAATTTATCTTCCAACGCACTGTGCGCTCGTCCGTCAAATGTAAAAATAACTGTCACTGTCTAAAATCTTTAGCGCCAACTTCAACTCGGTCAGTAGATGACGTAAAAAAACTGACAGTGCAGGAAGATAGGAATCGAACTATCCTTATCTCTATAGTATCCTTGGGCGAGGCAAGCATTTTCGGGCCGATGTTTATAGATATTTTTTTCATATTTAGAAAAGTTTTGGCATAGATTAATATTATATAATTACCAGAGCTGCCTGTCTAGCAACTCGTTGCTTCTCCATCAGCTGACTGACAATGGCTTCCACAGTTTCGGCTGTCTGCAATTTAAAATTCTGTTCAAACGTAAGTAAACAATTCAAACTCTTTGTAACAATTCCAAATTCTTTCTTTAAATATTACCGATATTTCCAGTTCGTTGTTTAAATCTGGCTCGTCCTCGCTGAAAAACATCGGTTTCAGCTGGGACACAAGTTCGTCCTTCGTCCATTCTTTCTTGTCAGCCCAAAGGGCCAAACTGGGCGTTATCACCGCCAGTTTGTTGTCATCTGGATAGGGGACGTTCAGGTAATGCACTAGTACAATGTCTGGATTCTGGAAAATCACAAAATTATTGGTCATTAAACTTTACAACTAGTGAACTGCTATAAGTTATAAGAGTTTTTTTGTTTTAGGTCACCCTGTATACCTAGACATTAGAAAATACCGTATAATCGAAAGAAAAAAACGGCGTCCAGTTGGCTTAGAAATGAACATCGATGACACATTCCCCATATAATTTTACATATAAAATGACGGCGATTTTCATTTCATAGCCATCGCTGACGCCGTTTTTTTTTTCGATTGTATGGTATAATAGTATATTGTTTTATTAGGAGTAAAAATTACACTTTTTGTGGCGAGAGTACAAAAAGTCATTTTTACTCCGAACAGAACATGCTATTTTTTTCAAACGCCACAAATAATTTTTTAAACAATTTAAAACATTGAAATTATATAAAAATATTTAAAACTAATACCTTGTAAGTAATTATATATCGAGAAACTATGGTTACGCTCGTTGAATTTGATACTTTATGTGAGTTTAATAATATATTTTTGTACTTTTATGCTTAGGCGTAAAAGTGCTTTACTTTTATACTTAGGCGTTAAAATGACTTTTTTTATATTGTCAATCACGTCGCAAAAATTAATACTTTTGTGACGTTTGAAAAACAGTAATTTACTATATTTTCTAATGTCTATATATAAAAAAGTTCTAGCTCTACAGATTGAAATAAATTTAAAGAGCTTAGTGAAAAGACAGAAAATACTTATTTACTATTAATTTATAAAAATAGATAAATGATTGACATACTACCTGAAGGAGCCAATAACATCTTCGATGAAACGTGGGTAAGATGGCGGAGTGGACGTAACAGCCATAAATGCACTGAAACAATAAAAATATCATTGATCAAGTGTAAAACAGCGTCTACACTATGCGGAGAACTCTACGAAGCAGGTCGAGGTTGCATTTCGTCGCCCAACTTTGTCGCATTTCGGTTTATTTTCAGTTGTTTTGACACACTTCTGTTTGCCTCGACCTACTTTCGATTCTTAAAAGCGCCTGAAAACTACTCGCGAGGAGGGCGCGGAGGGATTTTTTTTTGGCATTTCCTGTTGCCTCATTCAATTTTGTTTCGCTTTGGAAATAGTTCAAAACGAAGCGGTATCTGTACCCGAGGCAAAAGACTTTTTTTTCATACATCTCAGTGAAATAAGTAAACCTAGACATTTCTAAAATAGCTGTTGTTACGATGCTATTTCGATAATTACATCTCGTTTTATGTTGATATATAGTGCACAAGATTAATACCGTATGATCGAATCAAAAAACGGAGTAATTAATAATGTTACACAATGATTAAAACTAAATATTCTTATGTAAGCTTAGAGGAGTAGCCAATTTAATCTACCATCGGTAACTGTTTTCTAAATGCACTCTTTTTGATTATTCATATCAGTTTAATATAGTGGTATTACATTACACTCCATTACAAATTAATGATATTTATTCATACTCCATGTTTACTTATTTTTCTGAAGGCACCACAAAGTTTGACCTTGATTGCCTTGTGCTATTTCACAAAATAGTACTATAAATATAAGCCCGTGTTATAAAAATTAGTTCCCAGATTAGCAATAAAAAACAAACAACCAATCACGGCGCGTCTCGATCTATTTCAGGAAACGTGGAAACTAATTTTTATAACACGGGCTTATATTTATCGTACTATTTCCAGAAATGTTCTGCGAATTGTTTGTTCTTGATAAGCCAGTGAGCTTTTGTAAACTTTTTTACAAAAAGAAAAGATTACAAATAAATTTCAATAAGTTAATTCTATAACATAATAAAATATTGTTCATCCTAGAACCTTTTTAACCTAGTTAGAGTATTTCTCCTTTTTTGGAAGAATAAAACACCCCAAAACCAACTCTACCGCGTAGCGTCGACGACAAATGACGATCTCTATCTGCCTAATGTCGCTCTTTGTCAAAACTTTCCTTATCTCTGGCTAATTATCGAAATTGTGTCTGTTCGCAGAAAACAAGAATTGTGCCTGTAAACGGCAGAAAACTGCGTACTAATCTTAATTTCATTATCTTGTAAACGTTCGGCTATGGTGCGGTTTTTCGAGAAAATTAATGGGATTAAGTAACTGAAATAAATGTCTTTTATCAGAACGATATTAACTGAAAATATATATTTATAAATGTATTTTTCATGCTAGCATAGAGTTGAAATTTGAGTTCCTGTGGCGATCGTAAGAAGATTTTGTAGGTTTCTTCCGGTAAGTGTTCTTTCATGAAGAGCGGCTTGAACAAGCTACCGATCTTTCCGCCTCGTTGTCCGCCTTACTCGTTAAGGATATGGTCTGCTTACAACAAAACCATAGTCTCTGTGTCGATTCCATAGTCTGGAAATGACCGATTGTGTAACATGAAAAAACTGCGACACGTATAGTTGTGACCGACCCTCCTGCAATAAAGTTGTGGCTCTGATGACTTCAATATATAAAACGTCTTCTAACACCGTTTGGTCTTCCCAAAACATCAAAATTTGGCATATTTAACACCAATTTTGACGATCAAGAGGAAGTTTTTTTATGACAGGAAAGAATTTCGTATATGTGATCCCTAATTTGTTTTGATTTAGATATTTATTCATAATTTTTGAAGATATGATTCGCACCTTATATTGAAGATATGATTCGCACCTTCATATTTCAACGTAATGCTATGTCTGGCATTTCTATAGTTCTATTTACACTGACTAATTAAACAAGAAGGTAATATTCAAAAAATAATAATTAATATTTTTTTATAAATGAAACTATTGGTATTTTTCAATGTTCAAACAAGGATATACTGACTTAAATATTTAAGATCTACCATAAAAAAAAACTATTTTAAAGAAATGAATACGCCACAAAGATATAGACATTGTTTATGTATTTCATTGTTATCCAACATCACTTTTTTCCATTCCTCCGCCCCACCAATAAATCACTTTCGCAACTGTCTCTTTGCCGCTCTAAACAAGAAAAATGGCACGTGACGCCATTACCGTCCGCCCATTAGCTTGCGGGTTAAAAACCCATAAACCTTTCCCCACCTTCGAATCCCACCGGTCCGTCCTCCTCTTTATCCCCCCAGACGAGATCCACCTCCAAAAACGCTCCAGTTTTTGCCCGTTTTCGCTGCCGCGTCGTCCTTTAAATCCGGGACCATTTAATTCGAGATTAATACGTTTTAAAGACCGCTTTATTAAGCTAAACAATTACCTTCGTCTTAGCGGTTAACCGCCTTGGGTTTATCGGCCTTTTCGCTTATGTCATTACGTCTTTTCGACGTCTCTACATATCTTGGTTGGTTGAGAATCAGTTACAGGCTTAATAGAACCCAAAATTTAATACCCCTACTTCAGAGAAAAAAATATTCTCACTCACTAATACATTACTAATACGATTGAGATTGGAACCTTTGGTGCCACAAGAACAAAATAAAAAGACTAATTCAGCCACTAAAGAAAACCCTAGTCATATTTTAGCGCCCAACGTGGGGCAACATAATAACTTGAATAACCTTTTATTCATATGATATAATTTTAAATTTACCAAAATATACCAAAACGCCTTACTTTTGACATTGGGTGTGTTTTTCGCTAACCATGTTAGCAATGTTGCAAATGGTAAAAACTGTTTTAATGATGATCTGAGACGGCGTATTTTGATTTAATTGATTCTAATTATTCCAAAAACGATTTGTTATAGACCTAAAACTAGTACAGAAAAACTTAGGAGAATGTCATTTATAAATTGCTGAAAAAATCATAAAAATCCAGGAATCTTCACTGGAACAAAATATCGTGTGATCGAGAAAAAAACGGCCTCAAAGACAGCTAGGGAGTGACAATCGATAATAATTTTACCGAGTTCAATCTCTTGACGTAATTTACTAAAAATTGACATAAAACTTGCTAAAAATTAACACTTATTAGTAACGATTAATATCATCTTAGTATTAAAGGAATGCCTTTGCTTTCGATCCTAATCAACACACCTGTGGAACAGTGTTTATTGTTTTTGTAAAGTCATGTTATTATTGTATGCTGTGCTACTCTAGTAGAAATTGTTTTAAGTTAAGAAGTATCGGCTATTGGCTGCTTTAATAATTAAATTGATCTCTATGCCATATCAATTATTGATATGGCATAGAGATCAACTTCTGGAATTAAAACCGTATCTGCTAGAGTATCTAAAAAATTGGCGCCGGGAGGCACGTATAGCCGCCCATACTAAAATATGTTAATATCTCGAAAACTGCGACTTTGACTGATTTTGATGTTATTATAAACTAGGTTTTTCCCGCGACTACGTTCGCGTTACACCTCGCATTGATTTAAATGGTTTACTTTGTATATAGAGCTAGTGAGCCTTACAAATGCCCTATTTAAACTATGTTTTTAAGAGTTTAGAGCTACTCGTATTTCATATGAAAGTTATCAATTGTCGATTTTCTGGGTATTATACAGGGCAAGTCTTGAATAAGCAAATATTTTCAGGGCTGGTAGATCTCGATAAAAAACCATATTTTCTCTTTACCGTTTTTCAAATAACTCTTTCAAATTACTTTAAAAATTTTCAAAAAAAAATATTTTTTGCTTAAATTTTGAGAACCACTGCAGCTTTACGGATTTTTCTGTCTTGTAAATTTAATCTACTACCTATCTATGTTGCCATATTATCAAGAAATTATGGTTTTTAACTAAGAACTAAAAAGAAACCAAAATGTTTTTCAAAAAATTCCAAATTTTCAAAAAAAATTTGGCGAAAAAACTCATAATCGTGTTTCTGGGGTCAAATATACCTACTACCGCTAAGAATAATTGCACTTATTTAAGACTCGCTCGACAAAAAATCGATATCGTTATTTTTGACTTATTACATATTTTTTACTGAAAATTTATAAAAAGCGGTCAATATTCCATTTTCAAGAGCATTTTTATTCTCTTTAAATATTATTATGTACTTAAGAAAATTCGAAAATTTAAAAACCGTTTTTTATTTTTTCATCGCCTGTATATGACTTTATGACACACTTTGTATACCAAAAATAAAACTTTTGATTAGAGCCGTCTGAAATAAAAAATCTTAATAATTCTAGAAGTTATCGAAATCAAAGTATATCAAAGAAGTTCAATTTTGGCCACAAAATGTTTTTGAAATCTTGCAAATTTTTACTAACTTTACCCATTTGGTTGATGAATTTCAAAAATCTCTTCTAATTCTTTTTGTAGGATTTCATTCTTCTAGACCACATAGTAAGGAATTTTCATACAACAAATTGTTCCGACATAATTTTACTCTCTAAGAGGATGAATTTCCTAAAATCGCTTTGTGTAGATGTCGTTTAAATTAACCTTTGTTCTAATATTTATGTATCTAAAGCTGGCTGTATGAACTGATCCCTAAAATATCTAAAAACTTTATATATAATCTAACTGACAAACCACTGACAATGACAAATAATTTATTTCTGGAGGTATTGTGTATAGGTGTTTCTCAGGTATGTTTTAATATTTAGTGAATTTACACAAAGAAATAGCCATTCAACAATTTAAAAATACATCATAACAAATCTAGACATATATACCTTTCATTTAAAAAAAGAATCATCAAGATTGGTAAAGCAGTTTCGGCGGGATGGATGTAACAAAAAAAAACATATATAAAAGTTCAAAAGCCCTTTGAGCTTTTATATATGTATGGATTTTGTTGCAAATATTATTCCTAATCTTAATTTGAAAACCGCATTTCGCTAGCTACTGTAATTTTGGAGTTACGATTTTTTTAAATTTTTAACCCCCTCCCATATCCCCTTACCAAT